AAACCCCAAAACCCCAAAACCCCGTCAGGCCAAATCAATATATACTAATAGATAATGGTGATTTATTAAATTAAAGGTTTCAATAATTCTTAGTTCAATTATTCAAATAAGATGCTTCAAATTATCAAAGCTTCTATTTAGTTGGTTCGACAAACAAGTCTACTGATGAATTCATAGCAGCAAACTTTTCATTTTATACTGATTAATTATGACTGTTCAACTTCTTTTTGAGTTTATAAGCAGCTAAATTTCTAAGCTTTGAAGTGAAAGGTCTCTAGTAGCCAATTCCAGTATTGGAATTTCCGAATTTGTCAAGGGTAGGATCTCTTATGATATTGTTAATCATATTTGGCCCTGCAATGTGGTGATCAATTTCAGTGGGCAATAAATCCATATTAGTCAATTCATTCTAACCCATGCTAGTTGTATATTTCTCTTCAATGAACTGATAGTTAGAAAGATGGACATTCTGGAAAGTAATTTCTTCTCGTTTAGGTCTTTTGAACTAAGTCTTTGGTCTTATGTTACTGCTTGATTGCCCTTTGATGTTTTTCCTGGTTGGGAACTACAGTATCGCCTATTTTTGAGTCGTCTATCCTGTCATCATGTCATTTTCATCCTTGACTTATCTCGTGTGATCTATAAGGGAAGAATACTCTGAGACATTTCCAGGCTTGATTTATTTCTTGCCATGAATCTAAAGATTAAGGATTTCATAGAACTGTTCATTGTCTAGTGCTGAGTTACTCCTTGGTCCCTTGCCCAAATTTGTTGATCTCAAATAAGCCATAGTTGATTGTCTAGCGGATGATTACAACAATTAATGAGTGAGGGAGGTGGTTGACTAGCCATATGGATTTGTAGGTGATCCTTCTTTAGTGTGATTTTCTCTAGTATATTTCCCATCATATTTGTTTACTTTTTTCCTAATGTCTTTCATACTCATTTCCATTGATTCATATAACTTTAATTAATGCCCGCTTGATGTTTCTTTTTGAAGCATTTGATACCAATCTATCTTATCAGTTTAGACCTCCATGTCCTTTCTGTCCAGGTGATATCCTCTATGCAAGATTCTCTCCATGTTTCTAAGAGTAAAAGGAACGATTCTATATGGTTGCTGGGAATTTTAGGGAGTGGGAACATCACTTCTTCTTGTGTTGCTATTTCTATTCGAACTCTTTAGAATTTTCCCTTGCTTGATTATGAAATCATTATCTTCTACATTGCTCTACCTTCTATTGCTATATTGGATCTCTTTGGAGTTAGCCTCAACCTCTTCCATCTTAATTTGCTTTTTGTGTTCTCTGTTTACTTCCTCAGAGATTTATCTTTTCAATTCAGGGTCACCATCTAAAGCGTCCATCAGTCCTGATCCTTTTTCCCATTCTTCATCCCCGTAATCACCTTCTTCCCCATACAGATTATCGTCGTACTAATCCAGATTTTCATCTCCATAATCATCTAACTAGCTATCTTCGTTATATCTACTATTTTCTTCTTTATCCTTGTATGTCGCATGAGACTTTTACTCAAACCCACTGCTATCTCTCATGCTACTGTGATGAACTGGAGTGTAGTCATTTGGATTTAAATCTTGATTAGTCAGCCTAGAGGCTTTACCTCCTCTCATGCCTTTCTTCATGCCTCTACCGCCTCTACCGCCTCTGCCTCCTCTTCCACCTCTTCTAGGTTAATAATTGTATTCATCATTGAATTCTTGTGATTAACCTGCTTAAAAAGTGCTCTTACCTCCTCTACCTCTGCCACGACCTCTTGAGCCTATACTACTCTTGTGATGAGGAATTGGCTACCCTTGCAATAGATTTTAGAGTAGTTATTCCTATTGATCATAAAGACGATTAAATTACCTTTAATTGACCTCCACCAAGTGAATCAAGATTTTAGGAGAGTTTAATAAGCTCGTCCAGATTAGCTGGTTTTTCCTCCGGGTCTGTTTACATATCGCATGTAATCATCTCAGCAGTGGCCTAGACTTCTTTTGGAACAGAAGGTAGTTTTTCATCATCCTTCTTGTCAATAGTCTTATTCAGCCCGAATAGATTTGTCAGAGTGGACTTATCCTTCATTTTCTCATGATACATCTCATCAACTTTCTGCACGACTATATTAATGAAACTTTAGATGCGATATCTATTACAATTAATGTTAAGTTCATTGATTGCCTTCTGGGAGCCAGTGGCAGCAACTGAGAATGCACTCTCAACCTGCTCTGGGTTCTGCATAAATTACTCTGCTATCTCATTTAATCTCATGATTTTCTACTTCAACTGCATATTCTCAGCTATTATCAAATGATTGAATACAAATTTTATACTTTCAAGAGATTTCACATATTTCTGAGATGACTCAAAGTTTTATCTATAAGTATGGTACTCTTCTTTATATATTTTGGCTTGCTGTCTTGTTTCTTCAAAGTCTTGCTTGAACTTGTCTGCCTCCTATTAGATCTCCTAGATCTTGTCATGCAGATAGTCTCTGTCTTTTTTCAAAGACTATATTATTTGCTAAATTAGGAACTTAATACTTACGAACTAATTATATTAGAGATCTGATATTTACTGGCAGAGGTCATTTATTTCATTTTTAGCATCTTAGAGTTCTTCTTTCAAATTTAGTCCTGGATTCTTGGCTAAGTGAAGCTGGAAATCTCTTTCGTGCATAAACTTCTCAGCCTCTGTGGCAGCATGAACTTTTTCGTCCATAGAATTCAGACTTCTTATCGATCTGATCTTTGCCAAGAACAGCCATTTTGTAAACAACATTGTCAAATCATATTCCTTCTTGATATTCTTATAATCTCCTGACGCCTTCTCTAATTCCCTGATCTGCTCAAAGAACTCTGCTTTTTCCTCATCAAACTTTCTGAACTGAGCAGCAAGCATTCCCTAGCACTTGACTTCCATAGCTTCTGTGATGTCCTTTTTCATTCTGTCTATATCAACCAAGTGTCTTTGCTTTATCATGCTAAATTCAAAGTTCTTATCTTCCAACTCTTTCCTTAGTCTCTCGATCTCAGAGTTGTTCTTCTCAGTAATTGACGATATCTGATTCACAGCCACATTTTTATACTGAGAAATTTCTTAATCAAACCTCTCAATCAGTTTGTGATGAGTCTCAGGCGTGATACCGAATTCATATTCAAGCACGTCAAAGAAAAACCCATAGCCATAGTAATCGTCGAAAGACTTCCAAATTATACGAGGATCCTTCTCAATCTTTTATAGCTTCCTAATGACTGAGTCAGCATTCATTTCATTGAACTTAATTCCGATATTACCATCCTCACCAAGCTTTAAGAATAGATTTATTTGCTTTTGCAAGTTATGATTTGTCAGCTGAAGTCTCTAAAGGGAGTTTTCATATAAATCCTTCATTTACTCAAGCTTTTTATTTAGGATGAAGCACATTTCTTCATTTAGATTTTCTGTAGGCTCGAAGTAATGCACCTCTATGTATTCAAACTTTTTGCCCTTGCCTTCTTTACCGACGATTTAATCTCTAAGGTTAGCAAGTTCCTTCAAATAGCCATGTCTCATCTTGTCTATCAAATCCACATCTTCATCATGCTTTTGACTAAATTCTTTAATCTGATCCTTTTGCTTTTGAATAATCTGCGTCAGCTCTTGTTTAGTCATTTTAGCAAATATCTGATCCTTCAGTTTCTTTGTAGCAGAGTAATTGTTATCTGGCGAATAAGTTCTATTCAGCATTTTAGTTGAGTTCACTTCTAGATTTTAATCTTCAAATGTCTCTAAATCACTACGCTCATCCTCCATTGTTTCTCTTTTCTTAGATGGCGAGTCGAACTTAAGTATTTTGCTGCTAGTGACTTAGTGAAATGATTCACCCCTACGCTGCTAAGAATTACTCTTAGCTCTTCTATCTTTAGGAGCTATTGTACTGCTACTTTAAGTCTAGTCTGAGGGTTAGGTATTTACAAGATCCCCCACTAGTCTTTTCAGTACGATCTAGTAATACTCTATTTCCTTCTCAGTATGGTCTTAAACCTTCACATGTGGCTCCCCGTAGAGTAATTTCAAGAAATCAAAGCAAAGTTTTTCCATATGATGAATGATCATAGTTAGCTCGTTCTAAAATTCAAGGAATCAAGAGTGGGATTAATATTTTTACCTGAGTTAGAATATTTTCGACCTTTTTATTGGTTACTTAATAAGCAAGTGAGCCGATAGTCTTGAAATTAAACCTGAAATTGGAGACCATAACTTCTGCTAGGTTATTCAGAGTTGTTTTGAAAGTTTCGATGATTGAGTCAGGTATGAAGTTGTCATCTTACCTGTAAATCTTGAAGGAAAACTATGCAGATTCCTTCGGGTTATTTTTCTGTTTCATTTTTATGAATATTTTCAATCGAAATGAATATAATATATGATGAATTTAAAACAAATTTTATTTCACTAAGATCGATAGAAACAATTTATTTTTCAGATATGCTTAAGGGGTTTTGGGGTTTTGGGGTTTTGGGG